TAAGATAACTTGTGCTGTTGCAAAGTTTTTTAAACAGAAAAAATTTTCTGGAATGGCATTCCAAGTCCTCAGTAGTTCATTTTCGACACTATTGAAATTGCTCTTCCCCTCTCTCGTCAATCCATGTCTATGGTCTTTAAGATAACTTGTTATGTAAAATTATTTATTTATCTAAGATGCACCTACACTGAATTTATCTGAAAAATAAAAAAGTCGATATTAAGAAAAAAATCGTAAATGGAAGATTATAAGAGAGGGTTTCGCGTGCCAGCAAAAGTTACTGGTGTGCCATGTTTGGCACGCGTGCCAGGGGTTGCCCACCCCTGTCCTAGACCTTCTTAAAGACTACGAATATCTCATGGCTAATATGTGGCTTCCACTGTGCCCCACACCTTTGCTGGGATGCCGGTCCCTTTGCCAAGCCTCCATTGAAGCAGACAGAGTAAGAGGGTCTTTGCCAACCCTGGACCTCAGTGCCTAGCATGTGAAGGCACTCAATAGATGCTTCTTGAATGAGTGAAAGAAGCTGGGCTGCTCCAAAGTCTCCAGGGACCACCCCCCCGCCCCCCGCTTACCCATTCAGTACAGCCCAGGCAACCCTCCCCCATATGCACCAGACTTATTCTTCTTAACTCCTCAAAGCCTCAATGTCCTCATCTGTAAAACAGTGATAAAGAAATCACAAGTGCTGGAGTGGCTTAAGGATGAACTTACCTGGTTTGGTAACCTCACTTCTGTACCCGGGAGTTCTGCAACCTTCAGCAAGGCGTAGACAATCCCTCCCCTGTTTTCTTGACTGTAAAATGGGGATAGTGAGTAACTCTTAGGGGTATGGAGAGGCCCACATGAGCTGATGCATGCGATGTACATTGCTGGCATAGAGGCTGGGACAGAGGCTGGCACAGAGAGAGTATTCATTACACTGTAACACTAGCTTATTCCCCATCCACCCCTTCCCACTGTTACTGCTTCCCAGGGCATCCTTCCAAGGTTGCTTTGTGAATATGCAAATACATGCAACAGGTGTCCTTATTTTCTCTCATTTTACCCAAAAGTTTACATGTCCCACACGGGGAGTCAGCAGATTTTTCTCCATAAAAGGCCAGCTAGTAAATAGTTTAGGCTTTCAACAGCAGATGGTTTCTGCGATTCCTCAGCTCTGCCATCACCGAGGGAAAGCAGCCTCTGACAACGCGTGCGGCTGTGTTCCAATTAACTTTATTTGTGGAAACTGAAGTTTGATTTTCTTTTTTTCCTTTATTTAATTTTTATTTTATTTTTTTATTGTTTAAAGTATTACACATAGTAGTACATATATCTCCTTTTTTCCCCCCATTGCCCTTTCCCCAGCCTCCTTAAGTTTGATTTTCATATCACTTTCTCATGTCATGAAATATCCTTCTTCTTCTTTTGATTTTTTTCAACCATTTAAAAATGTACAAAAATGACTGCTGTTTCACTGTCTGTACAAACACAGTGAGAGGGCCAGATCCGGGGCTGTTCTTCCACTTTTCAAAGCATCTCGGAGACCTTCCCTACGATGTAGAGGGGCTGCTGCTTTCTGTTTTGAGGGCGGATGACTCCATCCTGTGGATGTTTGACCAATCCTAGTTGTTTGACCAATCCCCTAGGGCAGGGCACTTCAGTTGCTTCTATTCTTTACAAAATATTATTATTACAAAATAGCGCTGTTATGAATAATCTTGCCCATCCACCATTTTTGACATTTACAAGTGTCTTGGGTCAGATTCCCCTGGAGGTGCAGCTGGGAAATGGATTCTAGTGATTTATTGGGGGAGAGCTAAGGGAGGGGGGAAAGCAGAATGGGTAGGCGGAAGTATCACACAATCTCACTCATATGTGGAATCTAATGAACAAAACAAACAGATGAGCAAACTGGATCCATTAACCAAAGAATTTATATGCATATATGCATAACCCATGGACACAGACAACAGTGTGGTGAAGGCCTGGAGCAGGACTGGGGGTGGGCTAGAAGGGATCAATGGGTGGAGAAAAGGGGGGTATCTGTAATACTTACAACAATAAAGTTAAATTTTAAAAAAAATGGGCAGGTGGGAAGAGCCACGTGAGAATTGGTCCTGGAGAAATCAAGCCAAGGCCTGATTAAGGGTGGAGCATGCAGAGTGGTCCCACCTTGAGGCAAGTGGGTGGGCTTTTGAGCTTCTGGTTCAAGCAGTCATTGGCTTAGTGGTCACGATAGTGGGCGGAGCCTGTCAAGTGACTGCCATCAGCCTAGAGCAGGACTCAGAAGAAGCCAATGGGGACCTGGGCTGGGCACCTGCAGCATCCACCACAGCAGGTTTATCTGCAGCGCAGTCTCAGAGGTGGAACTGGAGGGGCAAAGCATAGGTGCACTGTGCTGTGGGTAGACTTTGCCAAATTGCTGTCCAAAGGGCTGTACCAATTTACATCCTTACCAACAACATCTGAGAGCGCCTGTGTCGGCATCATCTATGATCTCATCAAATTAGTTTATTATTAAACTTTGGGATTTTTGCTAATCGGATGGGTTACAGAATGCCATCTCAGAGCAGTTTCCATTTGCACATCTCTTAGAATGAGAAAGATTGAGCATATTTTCATGCGTTTAGGAAAACTTGTATTTTTTTCTGTGAGGTGTTCATATTCCCTTGCTGATTTTTCCTTTCGGGCTATTTTGGTCTGTCTTTTTTCTTTGTAAGAACTCTTTATATTTAATGGAAATTGGTCTTTTTCTATACATGAGTTGCACATATTTTTCTCATTTTGTCATTTTACTTCGCTTAAGGTGGTTTTGGCCAAACCTAGTGTTTTGATCATAGGGTTGTTTGGACAAGTAGATAATATATTATGTAAAGCACATAGCACGCACCAGGCCACTGCCTGATAGGCACTGCATGGATGTTATCTCCCTTCCCTCCCTTCTCCTCAATTCTGTGCTTTATCTATCTGTGTTCATTATTCTTCCTTAAATATGGCCCATGCTTCCCACCTCCATGCATTTTCTTATGTTATTTTTCTTACCTGGAATGTCTTGCTCCTCACTTTTGACTGTAAAATTCCTAACCATCTCTTGAATGGGTAGTTCAAATGTCAGTCTTTCTTACCTCTGAATTCCTACACCTCTGTTAGCCATCCTAGTCCACCGTGGGTCCTCGTTATTTACACACATTTGCCGTGCATTTCCTGAGCTTCGGTTGTCTTATCTATAAAATGGAGTTGCTGGGAGAAATAGAGATTTATTTTTATTACAAAAGGATGCATGTTTTCTATAAAATATTTTACGGAAAAAATCCCACAGATATAGAAACATACAAAGTTTAGAACAGTAGTTAGACATACACAGGCACCCTCATTCCCCAGAGGCAGCCACTGTCATAGGCCCTTCCAGACCTTTCCAATGCCTGTGTAAATGGTTTTAGTGGGAGAGAGGGAGAAGTTTTCTTAAAACACAAAACTGGAAGCATACTATCCATATTATTCTGCAACTTACTTTTTTTATTCAATAAAATAACACAAATAAGATGATGCATTGAATCAGTGCTCAATGAATGGTAGCTACAACCGTCCTATCCACCTTGCAGTGATTTTTTAAATGTTCTTTTGGCAGCAGAGCACTTACCAAGCAAAATCGCATATGAAAGCTCATTTATAAATGAGATAGGGTGGAGCTGCCAGTGAGGATGAAGGTGGGAGGAGGAGGGCACAGAGCCCCTTACCCATTTGTTTTCCCTTTGCCGTTTGAACACCTGAGAGTGTTGGGCAGGGTGTAGGCACATCACACTTAACTAAGTGACATCATTATGGGGATGTACTGTCCAGGCAAGCTGGTGGTTACCCTGCTGGTCTTCAGCTGGCCCTTAAGGAATTTGAGCTCAGGAATCTTGGGGCCATTAGCGTGGAGTTCCAATGAGAGAAACACGTGACAGCATGTTAAGTGAAAAATCTACAGGTGATGACAATAGTTTAAGAACATATACTTGAGCAAAGGTTGAAAAGAAATATGCAAAATTATTTGCTCTCTTGGAGTGGGGGTGATGAATTCATTTTTTCTCCTTGAATATTGCTGTTATATTATTTTTTCAATAAAACAAATGAAAGGGATAGTCTAAGTTCTGCCCCTGAATCAACCTGTGAATGTGTATATGTTGGGCACCCATGCCACAGGTAACGTGCTAGAAAGGTTGCATTAAGAAGTAGCAGAGGGCCGGCGTGGCTCAGCGGTTGAGCATCAACCTATGAACCAAGAGGTCACGTCAAGGGCACATACCTCACTTGCAGGTTCCCCAGCCCTGGTGGGAGTACATGCGGGAGGCAACCAATTGATGTGTCTCTCTCACGTCGATGTTTCTCTCTCTCTTTCCCCCCCTCCTCCTTCCCTTCCACTCTCTCTAGAAATCAATGGAAGAAATATCCTCAGATGAGGATTTAAAAAAAAAAAAAAGGGAAAGAAAAAGGCAGAGGGCCCTGGCCGGGTGGCTCAGTTGGTTGGAGTGTTGTTCCATACATCAATCCCCAGTCAGGGCATGTAAGGGACTCAACCGATCGATGTCTCTCTCTCTCTCTCTCTCTCTCTCTCTCACTCAATCAATAAAAACATTGAGTGGGGGTAAAGAAAAAAAAAGTGGCAGCGGGTAGGCATAGGACTTGGTTTGGGGGCAGGGGCTGGTCCATAGCGTCTCAAAGACTCAGAATGTTAGAGCTACATGGGATCAGTCTAACACCTTCATTTTGCAGTCAAGGGAACTGAGGCCCAGAGAGGCTGAGTGACTTGCCCAGAATGCCCAGCCACAGCCTGGCTTTTCCACATATGGGTAGGCACTCCCACTGACCTAGCTGGCTGCCCTTAGCGCAGTCCTCTGCCAGGGCACCTTCATTTTCTTGGCAGCTAAAGAGAGAGCACTCTCTGGTGCAGGTGGGGGTGGGCATCCTGAGCAGGGGTTGCACAGTGACACTGCTCTTCGTGCAAACCCCCTGCGCCTCGCTTGTCTCCACAGGAGCCTGAGTGAGCTCAGCCAGCCCCGCCCCTCCCAGCAGCGCGTGGGGCTGTCCCGGACCGTCAGACTTTACCCGGCCACCTCAGCCAATGGCCAGCTGACTTCCAATGCCCTGCCCGCGGGACCAGGCCTTGAGCGGAGGGATGGTGCCCAGCAGGCAGCATATCTGGACCACCTGTCATCCCCCTGGGGTAAGGATGCCTTGTCTTGGGGCCCTAGGAGAGCAGGGCATCTCAATCTTTGGTTTTCTTCTCCCCGTCTTGCTTCTCTCCTCCATTCTCACTGAAGGGCTGAGTTGTCACCTGTCCCTCATCCTCTCAGCCAGTCAACAAACAATTGTCTAGTGCCAGGCCCCGGGGGTCCCAAACCAGCTGATCGGGGCTTTGTCCCTTTGAGACCCTTAGACTTTGGTTGCTTCACCTCTGCCCCATCTGTCACCTGTCCTGCCTGCACTTCCTTCATGTCCGGCTCTGAACCTCACCTCCCTGGCCTGGCCCTTCCAACTCATCCTTCCTACAAACCTCCTGGACCAACCCAACCAGTTGCTTCCTTAGCACCTAGAACTGGTCCTCTGCTTCCCAGAGGAGACAACCGGCGGTCCCTGTGGATTCACGCATCCACACATGCTTGGTCACCGCCCAACAAGCCTTCCCTGTGTGCCTGGACGTGCTCCCATTCCCCAGAGCAGCGACTCCAACTGCTCCCACTTTCCCAGGTCCCAACCCTTAGGCACCTGGACATGCCAGCGCCTCCAGGAGAGCGCCTGCTTCCTCCCTTCCTGCCCCGCCACCAGCACAGTGCCCCCTTCACCTCAACCCCTGACCGTGCTGTCTTCATTTCTTTTTTGTTCCATTTTGAAAATTGAGGTATAATTCACATAACGTTACATTTTAAAGTGTACACATCAGTGGCTTTCCGTATATCCCCCAGGCTCCACTGATCTACTTTCTATCTCTAGAGAATTGCACGTCCTGGACATTGCATATGAATGGAATTATACGAAACGTGGCCTTTCATGTCTGGCTCTTTCAGTTAGTATAATGATTTCAAGATGACCTCCTTTCTTGTCATCTTGAAAAGGGGCTGTCCCTCGTCTTGTCTAAGGCACACACGCCTCCTTTCTTTTTTTGTTGTTGTTCTTTTGTTTTTAAAACCTTTATTGTTGAAAGTATTACATATGTCCCCCCTCCCCCATTGACCTCTTCTAGCCCTCCTCCACCCCCACCCCAGGCCTTCACCATCCTATTGTCTGTGTCCATGGGTCACACCTCCTTTCTTGAGTGCTGTGGAAAGCCAGGCCATCACAGGTCCTCCCCTTGCCCCCTCTGTCCTCCCCTTCAGCCTGTACCTCTCCTAGCCTGTACCTTTCCTGGCAGTTTATACACACAGATTTATTTCTCCACTTTTCTCTGGCTTCCTCTCCCTCCTCTCCCATCAGCCAAGCTTCTTGGACCGGTGACCACATAGACTTTTCACACTTTCCCTCCTCAACCCCTCTGCCTTGCCGCTTCCCTCTCTGGGCTCCCCACACCAAATGAGCCCCCCTCCTTTGAATGTCCACTGCTACCACCCCTAACTGAAGCAACCTCAGCTCACACCACTGCGTGACATCCCCCCGGTCACCTGCCTCCCCTCCACCTGCACACCAGCTGGGAGGACATTCGTCCCCCACATTTCCTCTTCCATCTCTTACTGGAATTTTCAGTGACTTCCTACTACCCACCAAATAAAGTACCAATCCTTGTTCTGGCAACCAGTCCCCCCCCCCCCCCCCCCACCTCCCCCAAACCTGTCTCTAATCGTTCTTTCAGGCTTTATCTTCCTCCACTTCTCCTAGAAAACTGCACTCCGGCGGGTCTAAGCTACATTCTGTTCTCTGCCCTTTGCTTCAAAGCCCAGCAGCACCACTTGCAACCCAACCTTCTCTGAGCCTGTTTCCTTCCCTGAGAATTGGAAATATTAGCTTGGATGTAGGAACACAGCCAATATTCAACCATTCTAATCTACAAAGTGGCATCTAATGGTTCAACCTAAAATAAGACTCAAGAGCATTGAGAGTAAAGTGCATAAAGCATGAGCTTATTGGCTGCACATTGACGTCCCTCAATAAATGCTGGTCTGGGGGCTTCTCACAGGTGTCACCCTGCCCCAACGATGGGGCCTTGTATCCAGTGGGTACTTAGCAAATGCCCTTGGGATGGACTCACCCCTGGTCCCGGGGCCTTTCCAACCAGCCTCTGGAGGTCACAGCTGTGCCTCTCAGCCCTGCCCCCTGGACCCAAGCCCTCTCTCTGCAGGGCTGAACCTCACGGAGAAAATCAAGAAGATCAAGATCATCTTCACTCCTACCATCTGCAAGCAGACCTGTGCCTATGGGCACTGTGCCAACAGCTGCGAGCGTGGCGACACCACCACCCTGTACAGCCAGGGCGGTCATGGGCATGACCCCAAGTCTGGCTTCCGCATCTGTGAGTCCCTTCTGCCCTTAGACGACAGTTCCTGGCTGGCCCTGTCTCCCAGGTTATTGGGGGGTCGAAAAAAGGCATGAAGGGGCACTTTAAAAGGGCCAGGGCTGGTTCTTATCTCCCCTTCTTCACCCCCGGGGCCTCCTGGAAAGTCCCTGCATTCCAGGCGACGCCGTGCCCATTTGGAGCACGACTGCGCCCTGCTTCTGTTGTCACCCACTGCGGCAAGGGGGTGCTGCTCTGTTCTTCCACCGCCGGTCACCTTGAGGTCCATGTTGTAGATTTCTGCCAGATCCCCTGCCTGAATGGAGGCCGCTGCATCGGCAGGGACGAGTGCTGGTGCCCCTCCAACTCCACCGGGAAGTTCTGTCACTTGCCTGTCCCAAAGCTGGACAGGGAGCTTGCGGAGAAAGGCTCCCACCACAGGGCCCTGCTGGAGGGCCCCTTGAGGCAGTCCACCTTCACCTTGCCGCTCTCCAACCAGCTGGGTGAGTGCAGGGCAGGGATGTGGGGCTGGGCGCACTGGGTTACCCGGGAGGGTGGGTGTGGGCATTGTGTAGGAGGGAACAGGCCTCCAGGCCTTTCTTCACAGTCAAACCTCCCTCCTTCTCCTCCACCCTCAGGCCTCAGTCTTATTCCCTAAACTGCTCTTTGCCCTCCCATCTGAATTCAGCAATGTAGTTGCCCTTACCCCATACTGGGTGCTATGCATGAGACAAAAGAGTATGAGGTCAAGGTCCTGCCTTCAAGGAACCCATGAACCTGGATAACAGAGGAGGATGGACAGGAGAGAGAGAGCATTATAGAACACTTCATTTCCCCTGCCTTCCATCACTAGGTGCCAAACTAAGGTACAAAAATATAGGAGGTCAGGGATGGAGAGCCCCCTAAGCCCAGGGTGTTCAGGGAAGGCTGCATGGAGGAGGTGGACTTCGATTAGGCCTTAAACAATGGGTACCTTTGGTTACTCAGAGAGGAGGGGAGGGGTCCTTCTGCGGAGGGACTGGCATGAGCGAAGGCACAGAGGTGGGACCACGTGGGCTCAGTGCGCTGGAGCTCAGGGGTGCACAGGATCATGGGGAAGGTGGAGTCAGGAAGGTAGCTTAGACATTGATAACCAAGGTCCTTCATGGAAAGGCAAGGCGTGAAGGAGTTTGTCCTTCATCCTGTCCTCCCTCACTGGGGAATTGTGCTGAGGTTTGAGTAGAGATTGAAGAAATGAGGGAGGATTGGGGGGCCACTCACGGCCAGGGGCCCGCCTGGCCCAGGGCTAGAGGACACTCTTCAGAGGGTGGGGCCCTGTTTCCCCGACTCTGACCCCAGCCCCTGTGCCCAGCCTCTGTGAACCCCTCCTTGGTGAAGGTGCACATTCACCACCCGCCCGAGGCCTCCGTGCAGGTGCACCAGGTGGCGCGGGTGCGGGGCGAGGCCGAGGAGGCCCCGGAGGAGAACAGCGTGGAGACCAGACCTGTGCCCCGGCTCCCTGCCAGCCCTGGCCACGGTCACTGGGACAGCAACAGCATCCCCACTCGGCATGGAGAGGCCCCTCGGCCACTGCCCCCGGCGGCACCCAGGCCCCAGGGGCTTCTGGGCCGGTGTTACCTGAGCAGCGTGAACGGCCAGGTGAGAAAGCCCTGGAAGCTTCCAGAACAGTGGTTGCCCCTGCCCCCACTCTGCTCCTTCTCCTTCTCTCTCCTCCTCATTCTTATGGAACATAAGTGTCTGCAGGGTCTCCCATTCCCCACGTGAGAAAACTAGGCCTACAATTGCTGAGCGCAGACCGCTGGCCTCCTACCTGGGCTCCACGAGGCACCTGTTAGTGCACGCAGAGCAGGGCACCAGTGTCCTTGGCCCCCGTAAATCCTGGGCTCTCCTGGAGCTGAGCCCAGGGTCTCCTGGTGCAAGGACAGTGGGGCCATTAAATCTGGCAAGAGTTTGGTATTCAGCTGAGAGTGGGGTCACAGAGATGAGGAATTAGCAAATGCAGGTTAAACCCCAAAGCCTTGGGGGTACAATGATGAGAGACACCTCACACCCATCTGGAAGCGACCACAGTCAGTGATGGAAAATCCGATGAGCTTTTCTGAGCCCAGGCACCTAAGGACAGGAGCTAAGCCAGACCCAGGAAGGTTTTTCTTGGGGTTGCAGTTTGGTGTTTCCAGAAATCCCTCCTGATTTTAGGGGACTGGAGAAGGCCGGCAGTAACCAAGGGATAGGGACTCTGAGTCCCCAGCCCTCCCTGGCCCCTCAGCTTGTGGTGTCCCTGAGCCTGGGCCATCCCCGTGGGGAAGGTTGGCACCGTGGGTGACCCTGGAGTTGGACAGAGGAAAGCCCATCCTTTGGGGTCCCCCATCTAAGGGCTGAGGCATGGAAGGAGGCCGTTTGCTGACCTCATAGAGAAGAGCTTATCCTGCCTGGGGTGTGTCCACCCCTCAAGTTTAGGGTCTGCTGAGTGGACTGCAGGTTTGTCAGCTTCTGTTTGGAACATCAGTTGACTCTCTCCTACCCTCCCTGGGGTGGGGGTACCCTCCGGCAAGGTGTGGGGGGAGGGAACACTTGTCTCAGGCTTCCCTGGGACATCTCTGTGCACATGGGGAGGGAAGAGGTGACGTGTGCCATGGCCTTTTTTCCAGTGTGCCAACCCCCTGCTGGAGCTGACTACCCAAGAGGACTGCTGTGGCAGTGTGGGGGCCTTCTGGGGGGTGACCCTGTGTGCCCCCTGCCCGCCCAGACCAGGTGAGTGCTGGGTGCCAGGGTCCAGGGTTGTGTGGGAAGCTCTCCCAGGGCCTGGCCTCTGCTTTACCCGCCCCCCTCTCCTACCCGGGTCTCAGAAGCCAGGCGGGTAGAACACACGGATAGACCAGGCAGCCTTTCCAGATCTGCTTCGAGGCTGCCTCTGGCTGGTGGCCGAGGCTGTTGAGGGCTCAGACAGCTCAGCCCCTCTGCCCAGCGCAGCCTGGCCTGCCTGCTCCATCTGAGTGTCTGGGAAGGTTCCTCCCTCTTGCCAGTGTTCTTGCTCGGATTTTAGGGGTCCCATCCCATGCTGGGCCCTCTTCTACCCTTGCACCCCTTTCCGTATACCTCCTGCCCAGGTACCAGGGGCCCAGAGGTCTTGATTTGGTGACTTAATGTCTCCCTTGTTCTCTCCCCGGAGGGGCCCCCAGGCCTTCTCTCACCTCCTGTTTTCTGCCTCCAGTCTTTGAATCAGGAATTGGGTGTGTGTCCCAGAATGTCTTCAGCCTTGGGTATGGAAAATCCAGTTCCCTGCCCTCTTTTGGATAGTGGAAAAACCTAACATATTTTTATGCATTTATTCATTCATTCACTCACTCACTCAGCAAATACTCGCTGGGTACCCCGTGCGTGCCAAGCTCTGAGAATTCGGGAGTGAGCAAAACGCTGCTCTCACGGGCATTGATCTTGCCATCGGGAGGCTGTGTCACGGTGCCTGTGCCTTGAGCATGGCTTCTGCCCGCGCAGCCTGTCTGCCCCTCCAGGCCTCCCTCCTGGGCCTGGTCCCGGTCCTGTCAGCAATCGACTCAGTGAGTTGGCTTTGTGGGGGGCCTGGACTGGAGCCCAAAGGTGGGAGGGGCAGGGCTGTCCTTAACTTCAGACCCGGCTTTGGAGCAGTGACCATATTTTCCTAACTAAAAATAAGCATGACGGTTTCACCGGGTAATAGACTTTTTGGTGAAGCACCAAAAGGTTGTATCCAGCTCCCAGGCTTGAACACCCAGCACATACCTGGTGTCAGTCCCAGCTCTGCCTGCCGACCTCTCTCTGCTCTGTCTCTGATCTGCAAAGGCAGGCAGGCAGTCACAGTGCCAGCCTCGCAGGGCTGCCGGGGAGAGTATAGGAGATGATGCCTGTGCTTAGTGTTCGGTCCATAAATGGAAGCTGTTAATAGTATTATTAGAAAGATCTCTCCAAAAAGGGAAAAGGGAATGGACCCACTGCCTCACCGGGAGGAGTGCCGCCAAGCTACTCAGCATCTCCCCCTGCAGGCCAACGATGTTTCTGCCACTTTTCTTTTTTCCCTTGTTTTTCCTTTTTCCTTCTGGTCCAGCTGACCCTTGAGATGTCCATATCCCACATTCCACTCAGTCAACAATTGGTCAGTTTACAGTGTGCCCTTTAAAGTGTGACCGTGGAGAATTCCACAAAAGCAGTGCCCATCCTGTCTCCAAGCCTACAGTCGAGTGGGGGAAGGGAGGAGGGGGCGAAGACAGGTAATGGGCATCAGAAAGAGAGAAAGAGTGCTAGTGCAGAGACTAGGCAGTGCCAGATGCAGTGGGAACGGACAGCAGAACCAGAGCCTGGTAGGTCCTGCAGCACCTTTGTGCAAATTAGAGAAAGGTCCGCCTTCCATTGGTCCAAAGCAGTCTGTATAAACATACAGATCTAGGATGCCAATGATCCCTTTAATGTGGTGTTTTGTGCAGAGCACAGCCTGCACATCTGTACACTGTGGGTGTAGGAAGTCTTAGCTCAAACTGGGAAAGTGAATCAGGGAAAGCTTCTGAGAGGAGGTGACATTCAGGATGAGATCCGAAGGTTTATCAGAGTAACCCAGTCAGAGACATGGGGGGCTGCTTACCGAGCCGAGGAAATTGCATATGCAGGTGAGCAACATTTCCTGGAGCGCAGCACACCCAAGGCTG